TTTTAGCATAATGTCCCTTAGGTTAATCTATATGGCAGTATTTCCTTTTTTTAAGACTGAATAATATGCCATTTTATTTATATACTGCATTTTCCTTATTCACACACACATCTTGGCTAATAATACCATAATAAACATAAGAGTGGATATACCTCTTTGAAATTCTGTTTTTAATTCTTTTGGAAAAATACACAGAAGTGGGATTGCTATATCATATGGTATTCTCTTTTTAATTATTTTTTAAAAACTTCCAGACTGCTTTGCATAGTGGCTACACCATTTTGCATTTCTAATAGTACATAAGAGTTCTAATTTCTTCATATGCTTGCCAACATATTATTTTATTTTGTTAATTTTCTGATAATGGCCATAGGTATAAGGTAACATCTTACTGTGATTCTGCTTTGCATTTCCCTGATGATTAGTGAGGCTGAGTATCTTTTGATATACCTTTGGAGAAATGTCCTTTGCCCATTTTAAAATTGAGTTGTTATTATTATTATTATTATTTGCTATTGAGTTAATGAGGTTCTATATGTATTTTAGATTTTAACCTCTTATCTGACATATAGTTTGTAAATATTTTTGCTCATTTCATATTACCTTTTTACTTTGTTTTTTTTTTATTTTTTAATCTTTTGATCTGGAATGCTTTATAGTTTGTTCTAAGGCAAATGAACTTAAACTATCCCTCTAAATTTTTTGATGTATTCTTTTTGTTCTGGTAGAAGATAAGTAGCAAATAAACAAATTTAAAGAGCAAAATCTTAAATGGTGATTGGGTAGTGTAGTGTGTGGCAATATTATCTATCAAATACAATTGAGATTGGTAGAAGTTTTATCTAAAGTTATGTGTCTACGGGGGATCCCTGGGTGGCGCAGTGGTTTGGCGCCGGTCTTTGGCCCAGGGCGCGATCCTGGAGACCCGGGATCGAATCCCATGTCGGGCTCCCGGTGGATGGAGCGTGCTTCTCCCTCTGCCTGTGTCTCTGCCTCTCTCTCTCTCTCTCTCTCTCTCTCTCTCTCTGTGACTGTCATAAATTAAAAAAAAAAAAAATTAAAGTTATGTGTCTACGATCAAAAAAGGAGACAGGGAATAAACAGTATTAACTAATGAAAGAATATAATAATTACAGATGCCTCCAAGATGTAATCTCTTAATTAATTTGTTAATGAAGATTTGTTAATTTATTAATTAATGAATATTTGAAAAGTTGGAAAACTCAAAATCCTTGTAAATTTATTTAAAAAACATATGGAGTTTATTCAGATTTCATGTTTTAAATGCACTCATTTGTGTGGCGGCTGGCTGTATGTGTGTAATTCTGTCTGCACATTTTATCATTTGTTTAGAATTGCGGATCTATCACCACACCTTTTCCATCACCGAAAGGTTCCTTCTTGTTAGCACTTGATAGTCACACCTACTCCTTTGCCCTCCCTGTTCCTAATCCCTGGAAATCACTAGCTTATTCCCAATTTCTAAATTCCTTGCAAATTTAGATTTTTTTCCTTTTTAAAAAGATTTTATTTATTCATGAAAGAGAGAAAGGCAGAGACATAGGCAGAGGGAGAAGCAGGCTCCTGTGGGAACCCCATGTGGGACTCCATCCCAGAACCCCAGGATCATGACCTGAGCCATAGGCAGACGCTCAACCACTGAGCCACCCAGGTGCCCCTAAATTTAGATTTTCAAAAATAATTCAAGAAGAATGTCATTGTGAGTAGTTCTGTAATCACTATAGTAATGGAATCGGTAGTTACAAACCATTGTTAGAAACTAGGGATGCCTGGGTGGCTCAGTGCTTAAGCATCTGCCTTTTGGCTCAGGGCGTGACCCTGGAGTCCCACATCCGGCTTCCTGCAGGGAGCCTGCTTCTCCTTCTGCCTGTGTCTGCCTCTCTCTGTGTGTCTCTCATGAATAAATAAATAAGACCTTAAAAAAAAAAAGCAGACCTAGATGGTTTTATAAGTAAGTTCTAGCAAGCATTCAAGGAAGAGGAATTCTCCAGAAAGCAAAGAAAAAGGGAATACTTGTAAACTAATTTTAAGAAACTAGTGTAACCTTGATATCAACCCCAGAGAAGTACAGCATGGAAAACAAATTGTAGTGCACTTTTGCTCAGTAGCATGGGTGTCTCTCAGTGGCATGGGTGCAAAATCCTAAACAATACATTAAAATACAGAGTCTAGGGGTGCCTAAATGGCTCAGTCAGGTAATCGTCTGACTCTTGACTTGGCTCAGGGTGGTGAGATTGAGCCCTGGGTGGGACTCTGTGCTGAGGTGGAGCCTGCTTAAAATTCTGCCTCTCCTTCTCCCTCTGCCACACTACCTACTACCCTCTTCCGCCCCCCTCCTGTGTGTGTGTGTGTGTGTGTGTGTGTGTGTGTGTGTTTGTGTGTATGTGTTTTTAAGATTTATTTATTTATTGGCGGTGGGGTGGGAGGAGCATAGGGAGAGCAAGTAGAGCACAGAGCCTGACATAGGACTTAATCTCACAATGCTGAGTCATGACCTGAGCCAAAAGCAAGAGTAGGACACTTAACTGACAGAACCACTCAGGCATCCCATTTTTTTGTGGGGGGGTCTTGTGTGTTAACCTGATAATATCTTTTAGCTTATGTGTTTAAGCCATTTATATTGAAAGCCACTTATATTAGTATGGTTTGATTAAAATCTACATCTTGCTGTTTTCTCTGTTTTTATTTTTCTGCTTGCTCTCATGTTAATTATTTTAAATGATTTTATTTTATGCTCGGTCTCAGCTTATTCTTTACATATCTTTAAAATATTTTAGAAAATAAAATAAAATATTTTAGAGATTCTCCTAGGGTTTACAGTATACATCTTTCAACCAGAATCTACCTTCAAATAATACATCACTTCATGTGTAATATATGTATTTTATGACAGTATATTTCTTATTCCCTTTTACCATTTTTGGGTATTGTTGGCATAAGTTTTACATAAGTTGGAAACACACAGTACATCATTAAGCTTTTTCACTTATGCTGTCAGTTATTTTTAAAGAAATTAAAGGTAAAAGCAAGTATTATTACCCCGTTAACCCCCTTTCCAGTGCTCATTATTTCTTTGTATAGATTCAGGTTTCTGTCTATATTTCTTTAGAATGAGCAATTCCCTTTAACGTATCTTGTAATGTAAGTTTGCTGAGAAGGAAATCTCAGATTTTGTCTGCAAAAGCCTTTATTTTCCATTTCTGACAGATACTTACACTGGGTATAGAATTTTTGTCAATGAGTTTTGTTTTAAGCATACTTCTCAGGTGTGATTATAGTTTCACCTGGCTTGTTTTCTAATGAGTTGTCAGATGTAATTTTTAATCTTTGTTCTCATGTAATGTGTCTTTTTTTTCTCTAACTTAAAGATTTTCTCATTTTCTTTAGTTCTCATCATTTGGATAAGATATTTTTAGGTTGTTTTTCATTTTTAAAATATCCTGGTGGTTCTGTTAGCTTCTTGGATCTGTGGTGGTTTTTCATTACCTGTGAAAAATTGTTAGCTATCATTTTTCTACTATTTCATCTGCTTTGTTATTTCTGTTTTCCTTCTGAGATTCCAAGTATGTGTATTTTGGGCCTATTCCTATTGTCCTACAGCTCGTGGATGCTGTGTCCTTTTTTTTCACTTAAAAAATAAAACTCTTTGTTTTAGTTGGCTTTTTTGCATTGATCTCCAAGTTTTTTTACTCTCTCCTCAGCTGTTACTAGTTACTGCTGAACCTGTCAAAAGCCTGTTTTTTCATATTTAGCATTTCTCTTTGATTTTATATCATAATTTCTGTCTCTCTGCTGAGTTTACCCATCTGATCTTGCATATTACCCACCTTTTCTGTTGGGGCTTTTAACATATTAATCACTGTTTTTAGGGGCACCTTAGGGGATGCCTCAGTTAAGCCTCTTCCTTCAGCTCAGGTCATGATCCTGGGGTCCTGGAATGGAGCCAGATGTTGGGCTCCCTGTTCAGTGGGGAGTCTGCTTCTCTCTCTCTCAAATAAATAAAATAAAATCTTTTAAAGATATCATTGTTTTTAAAATTCTCTGTCGAATACTTTCAACACTTGTGTCAAAAGAGTTTGGTTCAGGTGATTGCTTTGTCTTTTGGAAATTTTTGTTTTTTGTTTTGGTTTTTATATGCCTCATTTTTGTTGTTGTTTAAAGTCAGACTTATTTTTTTGTGTGTGTGTTTGGAAATCAGTACACCTTTCTGCTTGGCCTTTCTTTTTGGAGTTCAGGTTAATCGAGTTAGGAGTTGTGCTTGAGGTGAGATTTGTTGTTTCTTTTTTTTAAATTTTTATTTGTTTATGATAGTCACACAAAGAGAGAGAGAGAGAGAGGCAGAGACACAGGCAGAAGGAGAAGCAGGCTCCATGCACCGGGAGCCCGACGTGGGATTCTATCACCGGTCTCCAGGATCGTGCCCTGGGCCAAAGGCAGACGCTAAACCGCTGCGCCACCCAGGGATCCCAGATTTGTTGTTTCTTTACTTACTTTACTTCAGTGTACACTGACTTAAAATTCCATGAGAGGATACCTTAAGTGTAGCGCTGGGGCTGGTTTGACAAGGGTTATTTTCTCAATGCCTCATCCTTCCTAGGCTTTAGATATTCCTACTGTGCTGCCTCTCGGGGAGGGTCAATTACTGTGATTTTGCAATTCTTCCAGAAATATTCTATTAGTCATTAACGGATGCTTGTCAGCCTAGTAGTGGGTGACTGGAAGAAAGAGTTGCATATTTCCATTGTTCTAATTAAACCCCAAGCTTAGCCAAGCACTTCTCCATATAACCTTCTCTGCTAGATATCATGAGTTAAACTGGAAAATATTACTATAAATAAGCTCTTAGGGAAACCAACCCTGATTTTATGACTTTATGGTTTTACTACTATGATTTTATAATCTTACTACTACTGCATAGTAGTTAACTAGCTGAGAGATGTTACTACAGAGAGTCTAGAATTTTTACCTCTTGTTCTCAGACACCACACCAATCCGGTGGGCACCGAATGGCGGTGGAAGATGGACCAGCCTGAAATGATCTTAAAGGAAGCCATTGAAAACCATCAGAACATGATTAAGCAGTTTAAAGGTATTTATCTACCCTCTAAAAAGGAATGCTAATTAGCATGAATTAAATTGGCAGAAGAACTGCCCCTTTGACAGGATTTTGTCCCTACTGGCAAATTTTCGTATAGGGAAGTGAAAACTTTGTAGAAATATTGTATACATTTTGGTCTTTTTAGTTTTTATTGACAACTTTTGTATTCCACATGATGGAAGAACTAAATAAACTTAATTCACACCAAGCAGGTCTTTGGTTCTCAATAGACACTGGCTGGGTGTCCTATGAATTTAATTGAGTTCTAACACTATCTGGAGGTAGTGCCAGACCCCACAGGTCCTGTAAGACTACCCCACATCAGACCCCAGTTTCAAGTCTAGGCTGTTACCTGTGCTTCTGACTGACTGATTATAAATTGGAGGTTCTCACTACCTCCTGTTCGGATTTGAGTAATTTATTAGGGTGGCTCACAGAACTCAGGGAAACATCTGTTTACATTTACCAGTTTACTATAAAGGGTATTACAGAGGATTCAGTGGATGGCCAGGTGAAGAGGTAACTTAGAGCAAAGTCTGCAAGCACAGGAGCTTCTGTCCCAGTGGCCCTGGAGTGCATCACCCTCCTGGCACATGGAGGGACTCACCAGCCTAGAAGCTCATCAACTCTTGTTCAAGAGTTTTTATAAAGCCTAATATGTACTCCCTCCTTCCTCTCCCAGGAGGTCCATGGGTGTGGTTGAAAAATTCCAACCCTCTAATCACTTGGTTTCCCTGGTGACCAGCCCCATCCTGAGGCTGCTTAGGGCCCTTAATCACCTCATTAGCTCAGGTGTGTTCAACAGGGGTCCCTTATGAATGACCAAAGACGCGGCTTTCACTCCGGAGATCCCAAGGGTTTTAGGAGCTTTGTGCCAGGAACGAGGGCCAAAGATGAAATATATTGCTTATTATACTTCAGTCTTTCTTATTACTTTTCTTAATTCTTATGAGAAATCGAGAAAAGTAATGCAAGTAATGATTAATCAATAGTAATTTATTAAGGATAATCAGTCAATAATTACACCTTTATTTTATTCTTTATAATTTTCTAAGGACGTGGACCTGTGCCTATTCATGTGTATCTGTGTATGTGCTAACTTATTTTTGTATATCTGCAAAGATGCTAATATTTAAATTTGTAGATTTGTATCTTCTAGTCTCAAGCACTTTTTTCGACAAATTACTTTCTCACGTGTGGATAAAGCAGTGTCTCTTATCAGGTGTTTGGAAAATTCAATGAAACTGGTAAAGAACTAAGTTTCAAGATCTGGTATCTGACTAGCAACACTCATTATTGATTTAGTTAATATTGATTATTGATCTTCAAACAAATCATATGCCTTCTTAAAAAATTTCAAAGCAGAGTCTTGTTTTCTCTTGGATAACGTATTGGTCAGAGTTCTCCAGAGAAACAGTCAACAGGATGGTGTGTGTAAGAAATTGAGAGAGAGCGATTGATTTGGGGAGCCAGCTCACGTGATTGTAATCAGTATAGGCATCTCAAATGGCTTGTTTTCAGGTTCCCATGGGGTAAGAGAGAAAATAGTTTTTTTTTTCTTTTTTAATTTTATGATAGTCACAGAGAGAGAGAGAGAGAGAGAGGGAGAGAGAGGCAGAGACACAGGCAGAGGGAAAAGCAGGCTCCATGCACCGGGAGCCCGATGTGGGATTCGATCCTGGGTCTCCAGGATCGCGCCCTGGGCCAAAGGCAGGCGCCAAACCGCTGCGCCACCCAGGGATCCCAGAGAGAGAATAGTTTTAAAAAATATCTGTTGTGTTGTTGTAGGGGGAAGCTAGATAAAGGATTACAGAGAGAAAGAACAGCACATTTGTGTACAAGTGAATCCTGAGTAAGGGCTAAAATGCCTGGGCAGGGGGGAATGACACCCAACCCTCCCATTCAGCAAGGACTGTCTACTTCATTCTTCAAAAAGCTTTCTTTCCTAGGGGGATCCCTGGGTGGCTTGGCGGTTTGGCGCCTGCCTTTGGCCCAGGGTGCGATCCTGGAGTCCTGGGATCGAGTCCCATGTCGGGCTCCCTGCACGGAGCCTGCTTCTCCCTCTGCCTGTGTCTCTGCCTCTCTCTCTATGTCTATCATAAATAAATCTTAAAAAAAAAAAAAAAGCTTTCCTAGCCTATTGATTTTGACCTAGTAATTCCCCAAAGCGTTCTTTTTTCACATCTTCATTACTTGACAGTGTTACCATGTCAGTAAAACATTGTTTACTATGTATTGTTGATTCATTTAATCAACAATAAATTTTCTATAAAGGTTTTCAAGTCGGAACTGGTTTTTAGTTGGAACATTTGTACACGGACACTTTTCAAGGTGCCAGAGCAATTTTTCTTTAAAGTAGTAGTAGAAAATGGGCTTATGAAGAGCCAATGGGGCAAAGCTACCGTCTGTGGGATTATGACTGAAGGCCTCTAAGTCAGAATCCCGCCCAGGCAATGATAGGGCAGTGCTGCGGTGCCTCGGCTTCGGATAGCCGGTCCCCTGTCGTCCCCACTGGCGGACTGCTGCGCGCGTCCTGCGTGCCCCGCGTGGGGACCGGGGTCCGGTGCGGAGAGCCGGTCGTCCTGGGAACCCGGGCGCGGCCGGAAAGGGGGCTGCCCCCTCGCCCGGCCCGCAACGCACGTTCGTGGGGAACCTGGTGTTAAACCATTCCTAGACGACCTGCTTCTGGGTCGGGGTTTCATATGTAGCAGAGCAGCTCCCTTGCTGCGATCTATTGAAAAATCAGCCCTCGACGCAAGGGTTTGTTAAAAAAAAAAAAAATTAAAGAAAATGGGCTTATATTTGAAGGAGTGGTGGGTTGACAGGCTGGCATATGGGCATAAAGGAGCTCTCATATTTTATGTTTTCACGAAGAGTGAGCACTCTTTATTTTCAGGTTTTGGATCATGGTAACTATTTGTTAATTTTTTTTTTTTTAAATTTCATTCCAAGCTTAAATAAGGCATTACTTTTTTGAAAAATCTGTCTTACTGCTGTAATAATTATATTATATAGTAAACCTAGCTATGATACTGTAGTATTAAAAGAGAAAAAAAACCCTAATTATTAAAGGATGAAATACATAATTTGGAAGAATATAGAGCTCTTCTAGAAAACTGGTGGTAGCCTGCAGCCCTCAATAAACATATTGTTTTCTTTTTAAAAATATCATAACAGGCAAAATTATGGAATTTTAGTATTTCAGAATATTGGTTATGTTTTCTGTCTTCTTGACTCTCAGCAGAAAGTAAACCATTCAAATGTATGACTGTTTATTTTATTGTAGACATTCGTCAGGCAGTGAGATTTTGTAACTTCACTTAGGCTTTATCAGTGGTTATAGCCTAAAGTTTTCTTTCTTTCTTTCTTTCTTTCTTTCTTTCTTTCTTTCTTTCTTTCTTTCTTTCTTTCTTTCTTTCTTTCTTTCTTTCAAGATTTTATTCATTTATTCATGACAGAGAGGGAGAGAAAGAGAGAGAGAGGCAGAGACACAGGCAGAGGGAGAAGCAGGCTTCATGCAGGGAGCCCGATGTGGGACTCGATCCCAGGACTCCAGGATCGCGCCCTGGGCCAAAGGCAGGCGCCAAACTGGGTCTCCAGGATCCGGGTCTCAGGATCATACCCCAGACTGAAGGCGATACTAAACCGCTGGGCCACCGGGGCTGCCCAGCCTAAAGTTTTCTTTTTTTATAAACCAGAATTCCTCCTGCAATCAGTGAAATCTCTATGTTCTATCTTTTGTTCATTCCTAGAGGATAGAGTTTAAATAAAACAAGTCTTTTTCCTTTCTGAATGGTGAGCCTCAGAGTGAAGATGGTGGGGCTAACTCCTGCTACCTCTTCTGAACTGCATATCCTCACCGGGCTGCAGTCCTAAAACGGATCCTACATGTGGACTCTATAAAGATGCAGATACATAACTCTAGATTTTATTTCAGCCACTGGTGGAGTCTCTCTTCTCTCTCTTCTCCAGATCTGAACTCCTCTGCAGAGACTGGTCTGGAGAGGTGGTTTATATCATGGGATGTAGTTATTCACTCACGGAGACCCTGCTGGAAATTCCCCCTTTCTCCCACAGCCGTAGTAGAGTTTCCCTATTACCCTGTGCCCCCAGTGGCTTGAGAAAAGCAAAACAAAATTAAAAACCAAAGGAATGGGATATTGCCATTTTTCTTAGTTAGAATTTGGGTTACATTTTCCTTAGGGAAAAAAATGAATTTAATTAGTGATATTGAAATAGATATATTAGTACTGTAGTTTAAGTATATTGCAGATTAATTTGGTCTTGAGGGGTTTGAATGGTAACTTAATCTTCATTTTAACAGCATTATATCTGTGGAAATACAAATTTCAGGTTTAAACAAATGCTTTCAGAACATTACAGGCGGTTTTCAAAGAATCTAAGCTATTTCCTTCTTAGTTGGTTATATTCTGGATATCCTGACTTCATCCCCTCTTTAGAGGTTCAGTCTTAACTTATTAATAATTTCCCTTATTATGGTTTGGAGTATTTTGTTTTTTAGTGTGCTTTTCTACATCATGATGAATACCTGCTCTCTCTTATGGGTCTGGTATAGTCATTTTATGATTTTATTTTTGTGGAGGAGGAGACTTGCTGTGGGGCTTTTTGCTTCTTCCCTCTAAACTTCAAGGTTTAGCTAAATGGCCAGCCTTGAACAGATTTTGAAGATATTTTGATTGTTTTTTTAATGCTTCCCTTTTGTGCTTCTGTTCTCAATTCTGAGGGCAATTATTGTTCTTCAGTTACTTAATTGAATCATTAAAATATCTTTCTCCTCATGACCTTTATTGGCTTTCCCTTTATACACATGCAGAATTAACTTTCTGTTGATTACAAGTGGGTCAGAATTTCAGTGCAGCTCAGCATCTGTTCAAAATGCTGCCTGTCCCCTTCTAGATAACTACACCGGGGAGAAATAGTTCCAGAGATTGGGGTGGAGGCTTCCTTAGGTCAATTCCTATCAGTTCAGC